TTTTCTTAATTAAAACTTTAGAATAACTTTATTTTAATATATCATTGTAAAAATTAAAAAAAAATTATATTCGATTCGATTTGATTCAATTAAATATTTGATTTGATTTGATTTGATTTGATTTGACAAATATTTGATTTAATTAGATTCGATTTGATCAAATTCAAATTAATTCAAATTAATTAGATCAAATATTTGATTTCAATTCAATTCAATTCAATTTGATTTGAAAAAATCAAATCAAATTCAAATTGCTTAAATATTTGATTCGATTCGATTTTGAGAAACTCTAATATCTAGAAAGAAATTCTTGAGGAATTAATAATTGCTATATTATCAGACTCTAGCAAGTGTAACTACTATATTTTATGTTTACCAGCTCTTTTTATTGATCATCACGAGCTCAATGCATTTACAGAATTAGTATATATCTTAACTGGAGAAAAATTCAGCAAATATATTGATCGAGAATTATCTGGTCAAAACTTTAACCTTCACCTTATCAGTTCTGCAAAAAAAGGTCGTATAAAGCAAATTCTTTAATTCTTACTAAATAATAGATAGAATAAGCTCAATCATACTAGAATTTAACTACCTACTAGTTTATATCTTAAAATAAGACTCCAATTACTTAGTGTAGAAAAAATAATCCATTAAGATTATCTGTGGATCTGGATATATTACAAAAATATGCAAATCTAATTTTGCAAAAATATTCTAACTATCTTAGAGATTTGACTATCAAAGAAAAAGATTCAGAAAACTTTGTATATTTTAACCAAAAAGCTTTACTAGGATATTCACTTTGCAACGTATACATAATAAGAATCAGAGATAGTTCAGACATATATATGCTAGCAGTGAGAGATTCATCGTAAAATACTTTCAGCAAAATAATAATGAGCTAGAGAAACTTTGTGAGTGTGACTCATCTATTGCAAAATAAATCCAGTAAGAAATCAAAATTCTCCACAATTTTCTCACAAGGTATTTTCCCAAAATTTTCATAAAATTCCCATCTTGGATCAAGTATAATGAATCACTTACAGCAACAGAAATATATGAGAAGAGGTATATAAAACTATTATTCAATGAAGGTGATATTTATATCAGATCGCCTTGGAAAATAGGAAAAATATATGTTCTTAAAAATTTGGCTATTCCTGATGATGTAAATTTGCTTGTATTATTTACGCAACACTCTTATTTGAATACTATTATTATAAGATTTAATCTTAAATCATATTGTGATATTGATGGTAATATAAATCTACCTAATTATAAGAGAGTAATGTATCAGATAAAGAGTCTATATCGTATTATTAATAATTGCAAATGTGATAAAAAATGTAAATGTTCTCTAACCAATATGATTTATGGCTTGATGAAATAGTATCTATAATTACTCAAGCACAGAGACAATCAATAGAGAAATTGTATAAACTAATTCAAGAAGCAAAACACATTATCATTATGGATAATGATCTTACTAATCTTAATATCAAATGGATTAAAACACTTCGCAAGAATAAACCATTTTCAATTATTCATAACATTTACAAGCTTCAGAAAGGTAAAACATTTCACTTGGCTCTTAATAAAGCATCTATATTAGTCAAACTCTGAGATTGGGCCAAGCAAACTTCCTTATTACCTTTTAAAAATCGTAAAATATATCACTTATTTGTCATCTTACAAGGAATTGTTCATGCTTTCAAGACTAATTTTCCAGAACTAAGGATCAAGGAATATCACGGTAAATCTGATCCAATAGAAAAGCTCAAGATTTTAGTAATGTAGAAGAATCATAAAAAGACATTAACCTAGTTGCTTATACTAGTACTTCAAAAATAGGAGTATCTTACATTAATCTTAAACTTGAACAAGCATTTTTATCTTTAATAGTTATATAAAAATGAATGCTAAAATGAATCAGATGCTATTTTGCATGCGATGCATTAAGGATTATATATGCTATATTGAACAAAGATTCCCATTATAGAAAAAGAATTATTTTAATAGTTACTGAATGCCAAACGCAAATGTCTTCCCTGTGAACTTCAAAATAGAGGAATTTTTTCAGATGTAGATTTTATTATCTGGAATAAAGACATGCTAACTATTTGATTATGGTAGCATATATGTAAAAAAATTTCTGTTCCTAACGCTTATTTGGTTAGAGAATAATTGATTTTTTCCAAAAGGTAGATATGGTAATTTTTATTATAGAACCCATTTCTAAATTTGAAGATACTACAATATTGCTATCCCAAAAAGTGAAGATGAGTTCTTTTATTGTTAAAGCAGAGAAGATATCAGATATATCTAATACTTTTATTGTCAATCATGAGACTGTCAGATTATTAAAGAATAAGCCAAAAAAGACTTTAGAAGAGATGTGTTCTTTAGACTAGTACTATATTGTGGATTGTTATGGGATCCTACCTGAATTATTAACTGAAGAATTTATCTCAAAGTATGGGAATTTCAATCACATGAAATGGTTTAGAGCTTATAGGCAATTACAAGATGCTAGTATTAGTAATGAAACAACAGTTGAGGCTATTTCCCATAAAGATTATAAAGAAGATAGACTTACAACTACAACAGCTGAGAGACATTAAATTTGCCAATAATTATTAAGTGTTTGTATACCAGCTAGGAAGTATCGATGATAGAACAAGATATAAAACTGATAATATTAAGAAGTGTATAGATTCTTCTGAATAGATATTATATATCCAGGGTTTAGTTCCTAAAATGGCTCAGGTTTTTAATAATGTAGATGCATCATGTAGTGTTAAAAAATCAGGATTAAAACAATTTGGACAAAACTTAGTTTACTAACTCAACACTTTAGCAACATATGAGTTGAATTTAAGGCCTAAGATAAAATCTCAAACATTACTATCTTATTGGATTATTCAATAACAATAACTCTCATGAGTTACCCTCATATCAAACAGAAGAAAAAATATACTGGAGAATGGTAAAGATATCTGATATGCTTATAGTAAGCTTACTTCTGATGAATTAGATAATGTTTTTAATTCTAACAAAGTGAATACTACACAAATCACAGAAGATATTCAGGTTTTATTTGATATTGCGTAGGCTAGTTTCATTATAAAACAATCTGGATATACTACTAGACTTCATAAAAATAGATCATTACATCTGAAAATATGTCTTCTTCTATTATTTTATATAATATTTCTGAAGAAGACTTATCCTTGGAATATACTTCTTACTTAAGTTCACAAAGTGAATCCACTTAAAGCCTTCAGGTAAATGATACTATTGTTTAAAAAGGCACTAAAAGTGAAAGACTTCCATCTGATAGTATGTAGTAGTATTTTTACTCACTTTTAGATAGACAATTCTGAGGCCTTCATGAGTTGAAATGCCTCAACTCTATACTTCTTTCTCATCTGATAATTTAGTATATGAAACTTTGCAGAATGATTAGAGCAATACCCTGAATTAGAATCAGTAGGAAATCCATAACCATTAATAGGGTAGAGTTTTTTTTTTCATATTCTTTTCATATAATTTTGAGTACCTATAACATCCTATAGAAAACCAACATTACAAAAGTATTTTAGGATATAAAATCTTCTTTCATTTTTAATTTTATAATAAAACATGTAGATTAATTAAGCTGATAAGTCAAACTAAATAGAAAGCTATTTCAGAAGTTGATTCATAAAAATTACAGATATGCTGATAGGTTTTCAGATTATTTAGAAGATATTAGGATCATATGCATTTGTAAATTCGAATTAGATTCCTTAACTGACTTCTACCATCCAGTCTTAATTCCGCCTCTATCTATCTTAGCAAATAGATTAGATATTTGTAAAAGGTTTCCTATTAGTATGGAATTTGCAGTATGATGTGGTATGAGTTTATTTATCTAAAAAAAATAAACAGTCCTCGTTTCAAAATTTAATCCAAATGAATTATTCTAGTGATAGCTTGTTTACGTTAATAAAAATAACTTAGAAGCGTGAAAAGACGAAAGCTTGAAGGAATGACATGCTTATAAAACTCCTCTATCACATGAATTTAGCTTCATCAAAATATAGACTGAATGCTTTATATGATGCATTTATCAAGACAGAAGTTTTAGTATCTGAGCATATATTAGCTCTAGCTAAAGATGTGCAACATAATTAAGAAGTTGCAACTTGGTTGCAATTCCTTGTAAATTTATTTTAATATAAAAATTCAAAAAATGTTGCAACTTAAGTTGCAACTAGTTAAAAATTTTAAAAATAATTATGGGAACCATCTTTAGCCCTAGCACAAGCACTCTATTAAAATATGGCTATAACATTTTGGGTCTTACCAAAGGTAAGTTGCAGTCTCTAGATTTATTCATAGCTTTGAAATAAGGGTTTTATAGCTATTATTTTGCTTATGCTAACTTCATACTTGTAAAATTCAAATCAATATAAATATCCTTTTGGCCAGAGCGAGAGTTATATTATTCTTTTGCTTTCTTAGCCACAGTCAGGAGCCTCACTCAAATCTTTTCCCTTTCCAAAGAAGCATAGTTCTGAGAAAAATTTTCAAATTGAACTTTTTTATACGCAATATAAAATTAGTATGTTTTAATATTCTTAACTATACCATTATTATACATGAAGTTGAAATAGATCATTTCAGATTTCTGAAATAGTCGAAATGGTCAAAATCATTTTTTTTTAACGTCAATAACTTTATTTAATTTTTATAAGTAGTAAATACAAAAGTAAAAACAAAAAACTAATTTTAAAGTATTAGCTATCCACATAGTTATATTACAAACCCATTTGAATTGACCTATCATCGTCTTTTCCCTCCAACAGATGCACTAAATGCATATTTAATGGCTACTGTTATCACCAGAAAAAGAAAAAGAAGAAAGTCAGTGCCTATCTAAAAATCTATCCAAGAGTTACCATATATGTTTGCCTTGTAAATCCATGATTTTCAAATTAAAGATGAAGGTTATTTAAGAGAGTGCGATAAACATTTGCAAGCAGCTTGCTTGCGTTTAATTTGTTTATTAATGCCTTTTGAAAATTCATAAGCAATGAGAAGTTTGCATCTGTATTTCCATACATTATCATATAGATTTTTAAAGAAGAAGATTAAGGAGT